ATTAATTATCTCAGTGGATGACTCACATTATTGTTTTTGTTTCTGTGTAATTTTTATTTTGACATCAAAGTTGTATAATAGCTTTCAGTCAAAGAGCATAAAAATACAATGATAATCTTCGATGAATGAAGGAATAGTGAAGAAGAGAAGAGCTTCAAATTTTACTATTAAATAGCTTGGTCCAATGTAACAATAAAGAAGTTAGTTCCCTATACTATCATATACTCTGGACAATTAAGCTGCCTTCTATAAATAAAACATCTCTGGTGATATACCATTCAAATATTCTTGGTTACTGGAATAGCAATCGGAAGAAAGTTGTTTCATGATCTTTAAAAATAACTGAAAATGCCAAATATAAAGTTATTCCTCAGAAAAGAGTGAGTCGCCTTAACTTCAGATACTTCTAAAATATCTTATTATTATAGGGCACTCTCTAAATTATTTTAAACAACAAAACAGTCTGGGGGAAAATATATGAACCTGAGATGTCCTTAATCAAAAGTAGTTTTTGCAGGCTCACAGAGGTCACCTACATGAATACAAGCAAGAAAGAAGGGGAAGGGATGAGAGGGATGGGAAGGGAAGAAAGAAAAAGAAAAAAACAGGAAACAAAATTTAACACAGTAGAATAATTATTACTGCAATTACGAGCTCTCAGTTACAGCTGTGGGATGCCATTGAAAACTAGTCTTCTAATGATCACTTTAAAAAGCAATCAGTTATGGTTACAAATATACCTTATGAGACTAAAATATCCAACAATACTAATGTATGCCGTTGGGTACATGTAGCTTAGGATAAATATCCAGAGACGGTACCATACAGAGATCCAAAACTACTATATTTCAGACATCTTAGACTATAGTGAAGATGATAAACTCTGAAAACCATGTTAAGATAACTTAAAAAGTCGTTCCAATGTTGATGAAGAAGACATGGATGTAGAAGATACATGATTAAATGAAATTGTTTCATGAATGTGAGGGTGCAAGAAAGGCAATATTATTATGTTTATACAAAATGTGATTTTTAAATATGTGAGTAGCTAAACATATTAATTATTTTAAATGGGAATTTAATTCTTCCATCCTTTTTTCTTCTCACTGGAAATTAAGGACACACCATATACACACATGGTTATATGTTTTTAAACCACTTAGCTCTTCCCTAAAAAGTAGTTTATTGGACTTTATGCTAGTATAAAGTATTTGTTTTAACTATTTTTTTTAAAAGTCATTAAGAACCACATTAAGCAAATATCTCCTTTTGGTTTCTAAGATGATTTTTCCTTTGAGTGGTATGGCCACAATAGCTGGTTTTGAAAAATGTAAACATATAATCAGTATTGTTGAAATACCATTACTGTGAAATCTCTGTACAATAAAATATCACCAAGACCAAGCTTAGTTTGGATTATTATAAATAGAACAAATGAATCTGGGCAAGTGTCTTGAATTTGTTATAACAAGATGTGACACTTGTCTCTAATTGGCTAATAAGAAAAAACAGTATAATATCAAAACATGCAAATTAGATGTGTCTGTGCTTAAAATAAATCAAGATCAAGTTAAAGGAAATAAGATTGGGCACTCAAAAATTAATGTTTTCCATGGTTGCATTTAATAAAAATTTGGGACTGCTGACAAATCATGCAGAACTAGTATCCTTTCTTAGAGAAGTGATAAGAGGTAATACAGAATAGGTAATAAACTTAAGAGGTGATATCAGCCCCACAGATGCAATTCTCTAAGCCTCTGGGATCCAAAGTCATTTTCCTCTGGAACCCTGGGACCTAGTCTGCCACGTTTCTCTACTCTTGGATTACCAGATACTTTGGGTGGCAGTTCCTCTCCAATCTGGCTTGCTATAAGAGCTATGTGATCTAATTTATCAACCCCTTCCTTCCTCTCCCAGGGGTTCCCCCTGCCCTCAAGTATATATTTTGTGTTAATATACATATTTTGAAAATAATAATGAGAGTAGTACAGAATTAAGAGTTTTCCAACAATCAAAGAAAAGATACTCTATTATTGTATCTTTTGCCTTTTAAGTCGGAGGTTCTAGTCACCCTCATCTAGTCACTAGATTCTCTGTAGATCTGGGGGAAAGATGTTCATTTCCCCAGGACCCCTAATAAGCAAGTTTTATAATCTGTGATGAAAAGTTTCAGCAAACACACATGCACAAGTGTACACATGCACATGCACACTCTCACCCAAAGATGATCTAGTCTAGTCCCTTCAATCACAAGAGAAAACTGAGACAGAGAGAGATCATCAGTGTCCCATCTTTGAAGCTTTGGCACAATCAAGACAAGATCTCACATCTCCCAATTACCATTCCAATGCTCATTCCATCCTATCACTCTGATAAATGATTCTTTCAAGCCCTCAGAATAAGTGACAACAGCTGCCTGCTGCAACAACCTTTTCCGTTAACAAAATATTCAAGGTGAATGGACTCAATCCATTCGAGCTTCCTCACTCAGAGCCTCTAACATCTGATAAAGATGAGGGGTTCATACAGGGGTATCTAACTATGCTGAGAGACCAGTGTTTGTTTACCTGCCTATCTTTATTTCTCTCTTGACTTCATCACACTAAGACTTATTTGTGTTCGTTCCAAGAGGCAGGGTAAGTGCTATCATCCCTAATCCATTTGAGCTTTTCACTACCAAACTTGGTTCAGTTGGCATGTGTACTGCTACCCATGCACAGAGCATGGCTTGATCCTAACACTACAGAGATTGGTTGAAAAGGTCTGCATCAATAAACATTCAGTTAATTAAAACTAACATCTCTAGAAACAAAGATAATCATATCAAATTAATACATTTTAAAACACCAAAATATGACTAATAGGTCTCTTTAATAATCAATCTCATAAGTCAATGAGAGCTATAAATGCACCTCACAATTCTGAAACTTGTGTTGCCTTAAAGAAATATTTAATGTTAACAGTTCCTTCCTTACTGGCTCTACTGGGAAATAGATACAGATCTATAAAGAATTAATCAATTTAACCAAGTTCTTTGGTTAGGTGTAGGTATGAGTAGGGAATGCTAAAGGGATGCATGAAATAAAGAGCTGGCTAGTCTGATACAAATACTAAATAAAATCAAACTTATGCATGAAACTACTTGGATTCTTTGTCCCTCTTTTGCATGAGACTACCCAGGATGAATATGCTGGGTACGAATGAATGTGTTTCACATCCTCCTTGGGACTCAGAGTAAACTCTTGGAAAAAGGAATTCATGTCATGCCTCAAGTCCCTTTTCTACTCTTTATCTTTACCTCAAGAAACTAGAAAACTTCATGAATAGCCATTGAGTTAGTTAAGCTAAAATATTCTTTTCAAAAGTATTAAACATCCAAAATACAAGACAAGAAGCAGAGTTTTTAATCTCTTTGGAGTATCACACTTCATCTGCTGGATACAAATAACATCAGCCACAAATGAGTATCAGAAAACTGGATTCAGATTTACAAAGTAAACATAACTAATAAAAAGGAAATACAATGGACTTGGGGAAAAAAGGAGCCATATGGTAACTGGTCAGAGAAAGGTTTAACTGTAAATCAGAAATCTGACCTAAAAGTTTAGGTATTACCTAATAATTTAACCCACTCTTGGGTGTTTAGGTTAATAGGAAATATAGTCTCAAGACATAAATTGCTATCTGCCTCATTTCAGGCACAGATCTAAAGACAGTGAATTGGGGATAAAAGTTCCTCCAGTTACGAACTTAGGTAAAAATGCTACTTAGAGTAAAAGCATGTATAGCTATCTGCCTCATTTCAGGCACAGATCTAAAGACAGTGAATTGGGGATAAAAGTTCCTCCACTTACGAACTTAGGTAAAAATGCTACTTAGAGTAAAAGCATGTATGTTGACTACCTGCCACCAGAAGATGGAAATAACAGCAACCATATCCCATTGAACTTAAGAATCAGTGAGCTCATAGCCTTCCAGAACCTGGTTTGCATGCAAGAAGAGGAGCTTCTGTGGAAAATCAATCTGTGAAATTCATACCATCTGGTTCTACCACTAGCTAGGGGACTACGGGAAAGCTATATCTGTTAAAGTTTCTTATTTGTAAAGTAGAAATTATGTTCCTTACCTCACAGGGTGATTATAAGTAGTAGATGAGATAATTTATAAGAAAGTACCTAGTACAATCCTTTTTATTGAGTGTTTTGTTGTTATTTTCTATAAAGACAATCTAAGTTCTTACCACTACAGAGGAAGAAGATAGAGGTAATCTTTAAAGGTCTTCTTACTTGTTTTTGTTCAATCAAATAATTGCCATGATAAGAAATATAAAAGTGTTTATTGTAAAACTGATCATTAAAGTTATTACAGACCTAAAGCTGCTCAGTGGATTGGATAAATATGAGCTTAAAGTATTAAAATGTGTCTTTCTATGCTTTCATGTGGCAAAATTTTCTATGTGTTCCTTTTTGAAAAGAGTATTTCCATCAGTTACAAACTGCTGCTCCAAATTATGTGATAATTTAGATCAAGGTCATTACTAACTCAGATGACCAAACCTGAAAAATATTGTTCTCATGTCAGAGACCTTGAAGAAAGAATACTCTAATGGGATTAAAATGCCTTGCAAAGAATTACAACATGAATGGCTCAAGAAATCTTAATTTATAAAAGGTCACAGAGTTACAAAAAACATCTCTCACTTCAACTAATTAAATAAAATTTTAGTTAAATGGCACCTTTAAATATTGGTACTGCAGCTGTGAGTGTATTTAAATAGCATTTACACAGATATAATTAGCACAATTAAACAAGGGTAAGAGTGGAAACACCATTCTTAATTATATTGATATAATCAATTTATTAATGCTTTATAGCAACGAAAGTGACATCTGACAGTAACATACAATTCGTGGCTGAACCTAACATTAAGCATTTTAGCATCTAAAGGAATCTAAAGCTAGGTTATTGGGGAAAGAAGTAGTCAAATAATGAGTTCCTACCTGTGACGATACCATAGTTGGGAGGTTCAAGAATTACTCCATAAAACTGGATGATGTTTCTGTGACTGAGGACACTGAGTATTTCTGCCTGTACAAAAATCAAATGCAACATTGCATAAAATTTCACATTTATAATAGTCTAATAAAATAGTCTTCCTATTCAATTTTCTTTTACTTACATTTATAAAAATTTACATGTGCTTAACAAGTACTGTTAGGCAATAAAACTGTCTTAGCAGCATTCTTGCAAATTTATGAATTTCTATTGAAGTTTTCTGCAAATTTAAAAATGGACATGGGTTTGAAGAAGCAACAAAAGAGGTGCTTCCTAGTAAGCCCCCATGATTGACAGTGGTAGAAGATGACTAAAGAGGTGAGACACCCTATTTATTTACAATAAAGCCCTCTTCCTCCTAACAGTCAAATATATTTTTTCTGCATAATGTCTCTTCTGGGAGGCTGCAGCAAGACTAAACTTCTATAGGTTGGATGAGGCAAAATTAATGTCTGGTTTTTAAAAATATTAATGGAATAGATTCAATTAATACCCATCTATATTATTTATTTAATCATTCATTGAAAAATATATTTTTGCTCTCTTTCTGTATGCAAGATATTGTAAACATGTAAAGATGAATTCTTGACTTTCAGTAGTGATTTGATAGGAGGTCGTATTCATACACTTTGAAATGTAATAAATACTCTTCAGAACTCTGTACTGAAGGTTAACATGGTAAAAAAAAAAGTTATATTTGTTAAACTTAGTTTTTAAAATGAAAAAAAACAAATACCACAGTGTATATCTGCTAATGTCTATCAAAAATGATCTGTAGATAAATCATATATATTGATTAAAATTTTATTACTTTTGTGGAGATAAAATATGACTCATCAAGAATTATAAATACGAGGTATAAAATCATGTAAGTTAAATATAGAAAGGGTTTAACATTTTTAAATGAAAGGCATATTATTGGCAGTAAGTAAATAGGAGATTTATAAGTCCTGTCCCAGAAAGGGGATCATCAAGAAGATGTCAGCAATTAATGAAAATGGAGAAGCTTGGTCAGAAAGAGAACTCCCCTTTGAGAATCTGCACACTATGAATTAGTGTTATTTGCTAAAATTTTTTTTTCCATAGGATAAGCATTAAGATTTTATTAAAAACACATTCTGTGAATCTGGTTTTGAAGGTGGTGTTGACTAGGTAGAAAACAAGTTTGTGGGTTGGCATGGGATTAATAATGGAATCAAGAGAAAGAAAGAATAACAGTGATTGAAGGAGACACTTATCAAGGCTGACTTCACAGAGTTTTTCTTTTAGTATATAAGTATTGAATGAGGCTATCATTGCTTACCCAAAATATTCCTTAACACTTATTGAGTGCTTACTGCATACAGAGGTTCTGTGTTCATCAAGCAAACTTCTTCTCATAATTTAAGTTTCCCAAGTAGGCAACACAACTGTTCATCAGCATGGCAATTCTACTTCTCATTACAAAATAATTAATGAACTTTGTTGTAAAATATAGTTCATGTGAAGTTTGGAAATCATAAGCCCCCTTATTTTTAAGTGGCAGATCAACTCTGTGAGTAATGCAATAGAGTTAATGTTTGGACCAGTATTTGTCAAACTGGGAGAATGTTATCCTTTGGTATATTCTTTAAGGTATCTGGATTCTATGACCATTAAAAGTTTTTGCATCAATAAAAAATAAATACAAGAATATTCTGAATCTTTGGATGACCACTTTATAATTTAGCATACAGGGAATTTACAGTGTTTCAGCTAGTTTTCATGTTTACATTTAAGATATTGCCAGGTGATACCTTGAGGAGACAGGACTTATCTTTTCTAGTGTTGGTAAGCTGTCTAACAGGTCTTGGGCAGTGAAATGCTAATGTTAAAATAACAATCATTATCCTATGTCCTATTGTGCTTATATTATATATTTTTATAGTTATGAAGAAAAAAGCTACTCTTTTGCAGTATAACTTGCAAGTAAAATACATTTCCATGAAATAAGACTTTAGGTTCTCATTTAATAAACTAAGAATCTGATTTAATATCATGAAAACAACATAATACTTTGGAGTGCTGTACTAGTTTCATGGAAATGGGCTAATAATAAAGACACAGACTGAATAAAGAAGTGATGTGTTTGTAATAAATGAAGGTCAAATGATATCATGATGTTAGCAATTCAAACAATATCTAACAGAAACAAGTGTGGAGTTAACTGAATTACTAAAACCTGTGTTGTAGCAGTCGCTCTCTGATAGTAAGTGGATGTATTCTGTGGATTTTGCCTTTATAGGCACCTGCTTGCAAGAATTCATTAATGAAACTGTTGCAGTAAATATGTAGTAAACAATTTCTCTTTAAATTGTTGTTTTTCCATTGTTTTCCAGATCTATATTCTGGGATATTCTAGCAAATGAACTACCCACAAAAACAATGAATTAATGGTTTGAAAATGAGTTCACTGTTGTTAATAATGAAGGCTAGAATAATGGTCCATCATGACAAAAAATATGAATGTATCTATTCACACTATTAAAACCAACATAAGCCATTTATTTTCAGTAAATATAATTTGATGAAAATTGTTCATTTTAATTGTATTGATTTTATAGTTTCATTTTTATTCAATTGAAAAATTGGCTTTGACTTTGATTTTACAGGTGTATCAGAGCCATAAGAAGTTAACTCTTAGTTTTATGTTTGTGTATACTTAAGTTATACTGAAATAATTTTAGTCAACACTTGAAATCCAGACCAGACTTTTCCATATAAAGGGTCTACACATTTCTCAGTTAGCAAAATGCTGTTCTAGGAACTCAAACAAATACTTGTACCCAATGTTCATTGCAGCATTATGCACAATAACCCAAAGGTGGAAATAACCCAAGAGTTTATCAACTGATAAAAGGATAAACAAAATGTGAGACTATATATAAAAACAATGGAAGATTATTTCAGCTATAAAAAGGAATTAAGTTCTGATACATGCTACAAACATAGATGAACCTTGAACATTATGCTAAGTGAAATAAGCTAGAAACAAAAGGACAAATATTGTATGATTCCACTTACATGAAATATCTTAAGTAGGCAAATTCAGAGATTAAAGAAAGCATCCTGGAGGTTACCAGGGATTGTACTGTTAATGGGTACACAGTTTCCATTTGGGGTAATGAAAAATTTTGGAAATAGATAGGGGCGATGATTGTACACCGTTGTGAATTTTAAACGCCACTGAATTAAACATATAAATATGGTTAAAATGGCAAATTTAATGCTATATATATTCTACTACAATTTTAAGAAGTTTAAAAAATGCTATTCTAGACTTTTGCAGAGATGAATGATCAGAGTCTATATATTCAATAATTATCCTAAAGTTATAAAATCCAAGACCTAAATATCCTTGGGATAAATATGTAATTTTCTAGATGAGGACTTGAGGATCTGAGGAAAGACTGAGACAGACTGCAACAATTTTAACTCAGGTTTTAAGTCTCTCCATAAAATAAAGGGTTCCCAATCTGATATATAAGTGGAGTAATCAAAGGTCTATCCATAAAAACGTCTAATAGTAATGTCCTTATCAGGGTACAGAAATGTCTGTACAGATTATTGTGTTTGCAGTAAAATATGTGCCTGCTCTTACTGCTGCCAGCTGGGGCCTGTCCTTCCTCCCTTTGTACCTCCCTCCTTCCTTTCTTCTTTCTTTATAGGAAAAATTACAGGGATTTTAGTTTGTTAATAAACTTGGAGAGGTGGGTATTTTGTTGTTAGTTCATTTTATCTGGCATTTCTATACGTTTATACGGGGAGATGAGCCATTAGCTCAGTCTGCCACGTTTCTAGAAGCTGACCAGCACACAGGATCCAAATGACTGATTTATCAGAGATATTAAGAGAATTTCAACATCATAGCTTTATTTCCCTCCCTTTAAGTACTTCCAACAGTTTTAAAATAAGATTTTGAATTAATTAGTATATCCATCTTCAGAATGATCCCCTTCCCTCAATTCAAAACTCTTTTCCAACCCAATTCCAAATTTAAATTTGTTTAATTTTGGAACGCTGCCTTGGATCTTCAAACATTCTGTCTTTAAAGCTTGTTTTACATCTTTTATATTCAATTGATATAGTCTACATATACTTATGTGATAAAAATATTAAAAATAAAATTGAGTTCACTTTTTGTGAAAGAAAGATACTGACAGCAACCTATTGATGATTACAGAATGAATGTAATAGTTTCTGAAGCCCACATCATTAATAATTAGGCCGGCCAGCTCCGTTTACAACTTATATGGGGAACAGGCATTTCTCCCTGATTGTCAACAGCTATTACCCTCTACCTAGTAGCAGGACTGTGTCTCAGTGGGGTCCATGCTTCCGCATGTGATGTAGCACTGACCCAAGCTACACTTCTACTGCCCATGAATGTCATCTGCTCTTCCATGTCCTCTATGTGTGTGATACTTAAACACGCCACTCTGTGGACCCTGATCTCTGACATCCTCATCAATTTTATGATCCCATGAGAGTATGATAGTAAGAGAAAAAAAAGTAGCTCGTCCAATCATTCAGCTGAAGCTGGACATCCAAGGTCAAAGCCTCTCTCCAAAGATAGTTTTGTCTGCAAAATACCAGTATGGTCAAGGGTCACTATATTACCCCAAGGTTCAAGAAGATATAAGATGATCCCACATTTAAAAACAATTGTATTGGTTATGCATATTCACGGGGTACAAAGCTGACTGTCACCACTTGTGCCCAAGAATCCCACATTTTTTAAAAGTAAAAATTATGTGCATAAGAGAAAGGCTGGGAAGAAATAAAACGAAACACTAATTGTGGTTATGTATCTCCAAGTAGCAGAAAGAATCATAGGTGATTTTAAATATTTTTATATTTCCTAAACTCTTTACAATAAGCCTATATAGTTTTTATAATCAGAAGGAGCAATACAGGCATGTTATATGTAATACATATGATTAGAACATATAAATATAAAATTGAAAATATTTATTTGCATGGAAATTCTCCCTAGTATCGTATCGGAAGAAGCA